CACGCAATTTTGTCGAACTGTTGGTGTATGCTTGTTCGATGATCAACAATAATGGTGGTTTTAGGAAAAGAGTTTGTACCACTATTGTATCATTAAACAGAAAAACCAGCAAACCAATTGAATCACAAACTTACAAAAAACGTAAAGAGAAAGAGAGAAAGAAAAAAAATACATAGGAAGTTTGGTAAGGAAGTTCCCCACTGTCGTCCTCGTGTGTGGGTACGTCTCCCTCTCAATTCCAAAACTGAAATTGAGACCTGTTATATGAATTTGCTGAATATTGTTTACAAGGTTACAATACAAAGACATAACGTAATCTCTAAGATCTTCTTTTTCTTATAAGAACCTTCACTTGATATGAGCTTATCAAGATTCCCTGCAAGATCCACAATCAGTCCTCTGCTTCCATGACCTGTTTGTGAAATCGCCTCGATTTCCAAACCCCTCGCTATGACTGAATCTGACTTGTGCAATCGTGACTAACAAACCCATAAGAACATGCCTGTTATTGAAGGACAAACCCTTTGGTTTTTCCTCGAAACCCCCCTCTGAATCTTCAACTCAGCTTAGATCACTGGTCGTACCGCTGAACATTATCTCTATGATCTCTTGATCCAATGAACAAAGATGTTTATCTTTTGTTGTTGTTGAACCAAGATGATTGAGAAGATGATGAAGACGAAGTATCTTTCAGGTTTCTAATGCTCGGAAATTTGATGCACACCAACTGTATTTGTGACACCCCCTATTTTTGCTGCAAAAACTTACTTATATATGTAACAGAAAATTATTAGAGGTGAAAAAATGAAGTATGAGTCAATGCATGTTTAACATGAGTCGACTCATGTTAGTTGTGAAACATAAGATGAGTCGATAAAATATGTTATGTATCGATACATACTGATGGCAAAACATATTACAGAGAGATCAAATATGTATGAGTCAATGCAAGTCTTTATGTGTCGATATAACATATTTTCCATAAAGAATCCAAAACCATTCATTTTATATGAATCGATACATAATGAGTATGTGTCGATACATACTGAGTTGATTTTTGATTTTGAAAACAAAACATGATATGTATCGATGCATGAGTTTATGTATCGATGCATAAAGGTTTTAAAACATTTTCCAGGAGCATCAACTTGATATGTATCGATGCAAAGTATCAATGGTTCGACTCATACTGAAGCAAAATTGTTTTTGTGATTCTTTGCTTAAGTATGTGCCGATGCAAGACCTTATGTATCAATCTGAAATTGTGCTTTATGTGTAAAACATATTTTTGACTAAGTATGTGTTGATGCAAGACCTTATGTATCGACCTGAAATTGTGCTTTATGTGTAAAACACATTTTTGACTCTTTTTGAACATGTTATACTATTGTCATATTATACACACATATAGATTAAGCACATTAAACATTTATTAATACTATTTTCACACATATTTGCTATCATACAAAACTACTTAAAGAAAAGGGTTGCTTACATTTTTTTATAGTTTCCATTTTTGTACAATGTAATGGTTCAATTTATAACAGTGAATCTTGGTTTACCTATTCAAATAAACATGTTTTTCACATTTTCTCATCATAATTTTTTCAATGGCATCACTCTATTTGTACTTTGACTTTAACCGACTTACTGTTGATGAGCCTATATCCAGATTCCACCGAGCGATAAACCTACTGTCTATAATGTTACAGTCGTCTTCATCAGGTGTCGTTACAGTGGAAATAACTATCTTGATTGTGTTTAACTATTTCCTTAAAAAAAACTCAACTGTTTGTGGGTGTTATGCACATATTTCTGCATATTTCTCCTAAAGCACAACCTTTTTAGTGCATGGAGTATATAAACTGCTATACAGTTAATATTATCGGTTATAAACTTTAAAATTGGAGTATGTCCATATAAATTCTAATGAACAACTTCTAACTCTTTTCCTGTTGTATATCAAACTTCTCCTAAACTGACTAATGCAACAGAGAGACAGAAATGAACACTACATATACAATCTTATTAAGGAGCCTCAGTCAGCATCGTGAGAATTATCATTAGCTTTGCACCAAGCAAGCAAAGAATCATAACATTTTGTGAAGGCACAAGGCCAAGCTTATCCTTCATTTCTGAAGTCAACTTCATCGCAGTTTACAAATATTTCGACTCTGACTCTTCAATTAGAGAAAATACTTATAATCATGCACATCAAATTGTCAAAACAAGTCAACAATAGCCATGCTTCTTATCAACATTGAATTGAAAGTCGATAAAATTTGCATAAAAAAGTGAACCGGAGCTAACCTTATCAAAGAGAACTTTCATAGCCAATTCATCAGTTTGCAACTTATCCTTGAGAAGCTTACACAAGTCAATAGCAGTGTTGACCAAAAATAAAACGAACATAAGTAAACTTGTCTTTGACAGAGGCTGAGGGACATAACGAAGATAAGATGTTGTAGAGCTCATTCCTCTCGGATTCTGTAGCAACCGATAATGGAGTTTGAGATGAAGAGAGAGACCACTGTCAAACGCCATTTATAATTATATACATCCAGAATCCCTAATTGTGATTCTAGACACATGCAAACAACAAAAAACAGTGGGAAATTGCAGCATAAGATATTCACCACCAAGCCAAATGTTCCTCCACGTATCAATACAAGAGTCATCATCTAGCTTGCAGGATACGAAATTCCCAAACCAATTAACCAGCCACGAAGAGTCTAGCATTAATCATTTTACATCACCATACTTGAACTCTATAAAGGGGTATCAAATCGTGTCTGTCTCTTGAATCGAAACGAAGACATGTCAAAGCAATGATGATCTATGAAAGGGTTAATGACATAAATTTACATCACTTTTAGCTTTTCGGTAATAGAGAAATGAATGGAAGTGAAAAACTATCACATAGTTCTATAATTTTCGAGCTCAATTTAGATATGCACTCATATATTTTGATTATCAATTTGAATCTTTTATACACAATTTTCATATGTTATTTAAGTATGATGTATAAATAAATATTTATATATTGGTGTCTGTGACTTATGTTTTTGACATCAGCAGTATCGACGTGTCCATCGTGTCATATTATTCCTCTTCACCAATAAATAATTTTTATGCTAAAGTTTAACTCTATAACTTCAATATACACACACAATAGATAGATTATGGAATTATCCTGTTGTATAGTCCTGCTCTTTTGTTAGTCTGCATTGTGTTGTTCTTGCTTTAGAGTGTGTAATATATGAATTTGTAACCTCACAGTTTGATATATTTCAGAGTTACTGTTAAGCCTCATCTGTCTCAAAAATATATATGATGTTCCTTTTATGTTTCTAAACACACACCAACTTTGGTTGATTATTATACCTTTTACTTTTAGACTGTTTAGCATGACATTCTTTTAATGTACATTTATTTACCAACATGCCTAACATTTATTATCAGGATTGTACATCAATAATGTATACATAAATTATACAAAAATTAAATTTAGTGCACCATAAAAAAAGCATTTACATTTAATACTATACGTCTATGTTTTTATTTACTAACTGTACACTATATTTCATTCTAAACACATTTTTATACATTGAATATATTTTTATTTAGTTATTATATATTATATTTCCTTTTACATATATTTTTTTATTGCATATTTTTTCCAGCACTTTTCAATTAGTTTCACATATTTTTTTAACATATTTATTTTCTTAATTAACATCTCTTTAATTAATTATAAATTTTTTAAATTAATTTTCAAATTTTTATTTATCATAATAATATTTTTACAATATTTTCTACATCTTTTTAATTACTTAAAATTTTTGTTAATTACAATTTTTTTCTATTTAATAAGAATAATATTTTAAACAAATACGCATAACACGACGGACGTCTGTGCAACCGCACGTATATCCCACTAATATTAGCTTTAAGAGTGGTTGTAATCAGTTTAAAAAAAAACAACTCTTTTTTAGATTTGATTTATGTCGCAAACATCTCTAATTTTAATAATATTTATTTTTATTTAAAAATAAAATACATTGAAACAATTTTTATTTAAATGCAAGAGCTTTTATGTAACAAAAAATTAAAATCGAACATTAATTTTTTAATGATAAAGTAGTCTTACACTATCAGTAAATTATAATCGTTAAATTTTTATAGATGTTTGATTTTTTCTTTAATTATATATAAAGTATTATTTGTAAGTGATTCTTATGTACTAATCGTCTAAAATATTTTATACTGAGAGTATATATTTTTTCATCCCATAATGAGTGACTCATTTAAAATAATATAGTATCTCAAATTAAATAATTTATTTCAATTTTCAATAAAAAAATTTCAATTCTATTCTCTAATTAATAAAAATTTCATCATTCCCAATATAATAAATATACTATGATAAAAATATTATTTTCTTACTTTTATATACTTTTCTTAATATATAAATAATAAACTGAATTACTCATTAAAGTAACAAAAGTAACAATTACTCTCATTTATAAAATATCTTCATTTTTATTTTATTTTTTGTATTTCCAATAAACATTTATTAGTCATAGAGAATAATTTATACAACATGTACACCTGATTGTAACAATAACCTTTGGTATGTACCTAAAAAAATAACAATAACCTTTGGCCGATTAGGGAAGATTCACGACTAATGTGGATCAGAAAACACTTTAGATTTCAGCAGATATTATAGTTGACTCAAATAAACTTTATAAACAGATTTCTTGTGACAGAGAAAAAAGGTATACCCAACTTAAAGATCAACTTACCGGCCTGAAAATATTAGACTGTTAGGGATTGGTTTTAGTCATATATGATTGAAAAACTATGAATGATTATTAAGGTTCCAACTCTAATTAAGAACATAACTTTATTGAATACAATCAATGAAAAGTTTATGATAATACATCTCAAACTTATTAATTGAATGTAACTGTATGTCCCATACATAGTAACTGTATTCAACCAGTTGCACCTCCATTAGTCCTCATACTAAACAACTCCATCGATGAAACGTCCTTCTCCTTCTCCTTCTCCTTCATCGTTCTCCCTTTCTCTTCCAACATCTTAACATACATTCCATAAACATAAGAACAAAATCCCCACAAACACAAAACGGTTGAAACAGCTTTAAAACCACCAAATGAATCTTTATAAACCAAAACACCACCCAACACATTCATAGACAACAATGCAGTCATACAAATCCCACCAGTTAATGAAGATGTCAAAAACACCATCCCAGCAGTTCCCATGAAACAAAACTGCCACGTCACCACATTCGCCATTACCGTCGCCCAATAAACTCTACTGCCCTTATCAAACTCTTCTTCACTTTCTCTCTTCATCTCAGAAAAACCACCGTCGAACGCCATTCCCACCGTCGCTAAAACCGTCGCTGCAATCTCCATTATAAGCTGCATTTCCATCACCATTTCGTAACTATAAACCTTTTTGTAAACCTTCTCCATCACCGGTAAATAAAGTGCAAATAACAACCCTGCACCTAGGGTGCAAAAGAATCCAATAAAGTATTCTTTTTTCGTTAGCCCTTCTGGTTTTTCGCTACTGGAGTTCAGTGCAAGAATGATTGAACTTAGGGTTAAGAGAATAACACAATTGAGATTTGAAAAAGTGATTTTTTGTTTCACTATAATAGCCGAGAGAATGAGATTGAAAACAAGCTGTGAAGATAACAAAAGTGCTGAAGTTGAAACTGGGAGATAAGCAACACCCCATGAGATTAAAAGATTGTTCAACCCTAACATGATACCGACGAAAATCGATAAAGTTAGCATTTTTGAAGTGAAATCAGTAAAGGGTGTTCTTTTGGTGGAATTGAGAAGATAAGGTAGAAAAATTGGGATGATTAAGAGAGGGAAACCAGCACATTGAACCCAAGTTGAGACCCATTTGCTAGAACCTTTGTGGATGAAATAGTATTTTGAGAGTAAACTTGATGAGATGGAACCAACAAAGAGTAAAAGGTAGTTGATTATCAAAAGGGGCATGTACCTTTTGTTTGTGAATGCTTTTTCATCTGAATGCATGTGATTATTGTTGTTGTTGTTCATGGGTGATGGTTGGTTTTGAGGTTGTTGTGTTTCTTCTTGAAGATCAATGGCTTCTATGACAATTGTGTCGTTTTCATCGGTAGGGTTCATGATGATAGATTGATGACGATGATGATGATAAAGTGGTGGGGTTTGTGATTTTTGCTCCATGGATGAAAGTGCAAAATGGAAAGAGATAGAGAGAGATTTGATTAGAACAAAATTTATGTTGGATAATGACAAGGCTATGCAATGTAGTACTAAGATATGGTTTTTATATTAGATTTTAAATTTAATACTTTACTTTAAAAAAGTTATTTTCCTTTAAAGAATAAAACAAAGAAAATGTTTAATGATTTCGGATCAAGTTTCCTTTAGAAGAAAAAACTCCCATAGATTTATGCATTCAGGCGGTTTCATTTGTCTGTTTTTAAATAGGTAAATCGAATTCAAATTAATTTTATCAAAAAACATAATAAAATTTATAAAATATTATTTTAAATTATTTTGATAAAATCTTTTAAATAATTTTTTTTAAGAATTAAAAGATAATGCATTAATATTGTAAAAATTTTTACACTGTCATTTAATAGAAAATAAACATTTTATTATATCATTAAAAAAATTAAAATAAAAAAATGACTTAATTAGATATATGATTGTGATTTGTTGATAATGTAAAATTATATTACATTATTTGTATATCAACCATTTTCTATTTTTTTTTTAAAGTATATGCAAATAAATAAGTTTAAATTTATTTCAGTTTTTTATAAATATAATTTTTATAATTTTTTTGAAAAATAGATATAATTTTTTTTAAGAAAAGCTTCAAATGAAAAGTTAGGTTTAAATAATTATTTAAAAAAAATATTTTAGATATTTCATATTTTTTTTATAAAAGTTAATTTTGAGATTTTTTTTAATAAAAAATTGTAATAATAACTAGATTTTAATATTTAATAATATATATTTATATTTGAATATCAAAATTAGTTTTTTTAATTAAAAAAATTAATATTTTAAATAACATTTTTATAAAAGTTAATTTTAAAAATACAAAAAAAAAAATGTTTTTTAAAACTAAAACAAACAGACACCTAAAATAAGGATAACTTATAATTTTCTATATTTAATTTCTGAATTTAATATTATATATTGTACTAACTATAATTTCCAAATTTATTTATTTAATATCATTTATCTACCAATCAACTATTTTTGTAATTTTTATATTTTCTTATTTACTTATTTATTTAATTATATTTAATTATTCAATATGTTTATATACTATTATGTACCCGCCAACTGCAAATTTTCATATTTTATTACCTTTGATATAGTTTTTTATATTCCTTTTTTATTTAATATTATATACTTCCCTAACTATCATTTCTTATATTTATTTATATAATCTTTGTTTTGGATTGGGTCTGTCCTCAGCCCAATTTCCAATGAGGTCCAATTCAAGTGTGTCAATTTACACCATTTATCGGTTCTATTCTCGAATACGGCGGGGAACTACCACCTTTTTCCCACGAGGAGACAATCTCACCACACGGGGACAACACTCCGAGTAGACTAAGGACGGTCACCTTCGATCATGAAGACTTCGAGGACACCCCGACTAGCTCGTCGGCCAAGACGGGTCCCCTCACTCGACCTCGCGTATGGCGGGGACCACTCACAATGGGCAGATGCTTCTCCCGAGCATCCTCCTCGTAGGGCTGACCACCAACGTCTCCGCATATCACAGAGTATTCGTGGTCCCAGAAAGATCGCATCCATATCCTCCTGACCTTGCGGAGGACGTCATCCAGGTAGGGGACCACGTGCGGGTCTCCACTACTCACGTAGGACCTGACAGTCTCTATGTTGGGCCTACTTGACCAGCCCAATATAGAGATCTTGGCCCAACGGTGAGGGCTATAAATACCCTCTTCGAGAGGTTCGGGTATTCAACACTTTCTTACTCTCACGCTTGCTTGCTCATTCCGCAACTTACTTTGGCATCAGAGTGTCTTGCAGGGATCCCCCACCTCACTCAACTTCTGCTCGAGCTAGCTGTGACGGTCCATTCTGATCAGGTACCATCAGTGGCGCCGTCTATGGGAAACTTTCTTCCCCGTCTTCCGTTTACTCAAGACTAAAGCTAAATCACTCTTCTGACTGTCATGGCTGGTCAAACAGCAGAAAACAACATGAACGTTTGCATCACCGACATCAATAACAATGTCGCCGAAAATAATGCTGACATCGACAACGTTGGTACTACTGGCCACAACACGGCCCCACCGTTAATATGCCCGGTCCTTCAGACTATAGAGATGGAGCAACTGCCTCGTCGTCATCACTATCTCGACGACTTGAAGACGATCGGCCACCTCCTCAAAACTACCAACCCAACCAGTTCCAGGAGGTCCCCGTTCCCGCTGGAGCAAACGCCACAACCAGGGCACTGTTCGTGGCGATAAACCAAACAAATTATCTGATATTTTCTCAAGGAGAGAGATTGAGGGCGCTCGAAGATGCTCGGAGAACCCCCAGAATACATATGAAGCCTCATTCTCCTCCTCCTCGCCAAGTAGAGGAACGTCCCCAATCTCCCCCACGGAGACGTAGGAGGGACGCCTCTCGAAGTCCCTCTCCCCGACCAATTGGGCGACGCCCCGCATTGGAGAGGGACCAGCCCGTTGACACGGGGAGACACGATCATATCCCCTCGCGTCAAGAGCAAAGACCCCCCGGAGACAGGAACAAAGGAAATAACGAACAACTGTATTGCCCGAGGAACGCTCCGCGCGATCAGGGCCATCATCATAACCACCACTACCACATATCTCCTTCTCACTCCCCTGACAAGAGTGACGAAGATGACCCCCCGCACTCCCTTGTCACAAGGGATTATGGAGGCACCCATCCCCCCGAACACGGAGAATCCTCCCCATCTGAAGGAGTACGACGACATCGCCGACCCAGTCGACCATATAGACGGGTTTGAGGCAATGATGCATTATCATAATATCGGGGGACCAATCAAATGTCGGTTGTTCCCCACGACTTTGAGGAAAGTTGCGATGGATTGGTACAAGAGTCTTGCCCCGGGGTCAATCACCTCCTGGAAAAATTTAAAAAACCAATTCATCAGTTCATTTACTGCTTCACGTTGACACCCAAAGACTGAAGCAGCCCTCGAGGCTATCGTCCAGAGACACGACGAGAACCTGGGGGAATTTATTGATCGGTTCAATCGGGAGGCCATCCAGGTCCCCTGCACCGATCATATGAAGAGATACCTACTCGAGAGGGGACTCCTCCCAGGTACGGAATTCAGAAAGGTCGTTGACATTAAACCACCCCGGACATTCGATGTCCTCCTCGAGAAAGCCAGAGCATACATGGACTACGAGGAGAGAGAAGCGGCCAAAAGAGCCCGGGACCCCAGGAATCATGATTCAACCAGCAATCAGCGACAACAGGACTCCGGCCCTCCTCGACGAACTAGCGAGAAGAGGAGGGATGATAAAACCGGAGACCCTCGTGAGAAAAGAGGAACCTTGGGGCAGTTTACTAACTACACTCTGCTAACGACTTCCTGCGAGCGCATTTTGGCAGAGTGTGAGAACACATATTTCAAGGACGGCAACGTCAAGCGTCCTCGCTCTGCTCCTGCTAAGCCCGAGGCAGATCGGAGCAAATACTGCCAATATCATCGAAGCCATGGACACTTGACTGAAGATTGTGTCCATCTCAAGGATGCTATTGAGACCCTCATCAAAGGGGGAAGACTCGGGAATATTGGCACGGCGACGCCCCTCGTCGAGATGCCCGCGACACGAAAGAGATAGAGGAGGATGCTTGACCATCTGACGAGTCGGTCCCCATCCATACCGCATTCTCCGTTACGAGACTGGAGGACTTCTACGTCCCCGAGCATACTGAAGAGCCTTTGTCCATGCACAACAGGTGAGAAAGCTTCCCCTCTGCCATGGTCATAAATGGTGGAGGATTTAATGACATAACTATAAATTCAGTGAAGTGGAAGTTGGGCGAGCAAGTCGACGCGGCCCCCTCGCAAACGGTGACTTTCGAGAGGGTTAAGGGAAGATCAGAGCCAATTACCTTTTACCTCGAGGAGTTTCCCGGAGGGGCCTCCAATTCAGCCATCCCTCTTCTGATCAGGGCGAGAATGGCTAACTTTGATGTTCATCGCGTCTTGATCGACGAGGGATGATCTGTCGACGTGATGTACAGCCAGCTCTTCAGAACCTTGCAGCTCGACGACTCTCACCTTTCACCATACATGGGGTTCGATCTGCAGGGCTTTAACGGATCGACCTTCAAGCCATGGGGGTACGTGGAGCTCATGGTCACCTTAAGAAAAGATACCGCCACCAGGAAAATCAAGGTGCGCTTCCTGGTCATCGACTTCCCATCTCTCTACAACTGCATCCTAGGGAAACCGACACTAGCAGAGTTGATCGTGGTACCCTCCACCGTCCATCTGAAGATGAAGTTCTACATAAAAAGGGCACGTGTCGCCACCATCCAAGGAGACCTAGCAGCTGCCCGAAGATGCTTCAATGCGACATCCAAGGGACAAAGCACGGTCGACACTGGAGCACGACCCGCCAAGAGAGATGCAACAGTGCGACCAGAGCCACAACAGTCAGAGCCACAACCCATCAAGGAAGACGTACAAAGTGCTCCTTCAAAGTTCGACTCAATCTCGTTGGACATCCGCTTCGACCAAGACGAAGCACTCAACGGCGAGCAGGGGCTCCTTCGACCAATTCCGAATGGGGACTTTGAGCTCGTCCCTCTCGGTGAAGACCCGAACAAAGGGGTGAAGATCGACATGAGACTCCCCGACCTGGCGAGGAAACAAATCAAGGCTTGCTTGAGGGAGAATGCAGATCTGTTTTCATGGAGCGCTGTGGAGATGCCCGGTCTTGACCCCGAGGTCGCCTATCACCAACTCGCCATTGATCCATCCGCTAGGGCAGTAGTACAACGTAGATGTAGGCAGTCCCCTGAGAAAACGGAGGCTGCTGAAAAAGCTGTAAAAGACCTCCTAGAGGCAAATTTTATTTCTGAAGCCCGATATTCAA